ATAAAATTATATTTTTAACATTAATTTACTATTATTATTTTATCCTTTATTTATTATTGTGTATATTGTTATTTTGTTATAACATGTATATATAAATTAGTAATAAAGTTAAAAAATTGTCAAATTTTAAAACAGAATTTATAGAATTTATTAAAAGTAACTTATAAATAGAATTAGTAGAAGGTAGTTTTTTAACACCCTCTTCCTCCCTTCTTTAAATTCAAAGGATGTTTGAAGATCAAAACTTGAGAGAGAAACCCTAAAAGTCATAACCTTTTTTTTTTTGGCCAACACCCTAAAAGCCATAACTAACATTGAGGGACGTGAGAAATGCAATAATTAATCTGGACCATTCATTCATTGATGAAAGAAGAGTATTGGCACCTTTCTTCTGGCTTCTTCAATGCTGGAACACGAAACAGTGAAAATGGTCCACTGCTTTCAATAATTCCCTTCACATATTCTGCATTTCTGGTGTATAAAAAAAAAAACACGCTGCCAATTTACAAAAAAAAATAGTTATATCATTTATCATAATTTTTATTTTATACGACATTTTTTCCCTTTACCAAGTGTATATAATGATTTCATTTAATTATATCGTTTATAAGCGACTAATTTGTAAATAATTCTATAAACTCTTTTTAAATTGTGAGATTTATAATTTATTTTAATCTGATATCTATATCAGTTGAATTACGCGTTTTTTTTTTGACCAAATTTTATGGAAAGGATTGGGTTTACTCACAATCCAAGGACAGAGCAACTAACCTTTGACCTCAATCATACCCAGCACCGTAGCAACTAGGATGTGAAGAGTTCCATGTGAGGGATCACCACGTTATGAGCTGAAGTCTCAACTTTGAAGATACTTCTCCAGCATCGCGACGTGCTTCAGGGTCAAACCCGCTCTCTCAGTGAGCGTGTCTAATCCTTTTACCTGCTAAACCCACGAACGAGGTTTAAATTACAAGTTTAGGCCATGTTTGGTAGGAGCGATTGATTTTTAATGGAATGGAAATGATAATAGGATTGGGAATGAGGTTTTTATTTTATGTTTGATAGGAGGTAATATGTGGAAGAAATACATAAATTTATTTTATTCATAATAAGATATACAAACTTAAAAGACTGTAATACCCCTTGGTATTTTAGGGCTTGGGACTCCAACCTTATACTCTCCTCTTTTAATAAGAAGAAAACCGCTTGATCATATATATTGTTTTAAAAATAAATAAATTAAAATTTGACTCATTTTACAATAAATAATATATTAAATATTTAAAAAATTAGAAATGGCTTTCTACCATATCCCAACAAATTTATATATATATATAAAAGTAATAAAAAAAATCAATACTTCCTTAAAATTTATCCCAAAGAATTATTAATCATTCCTTAAAATTATAAAATTTTTATTAGAAAAAGTTATCCTAGGTCCTTAAAATTATAATTTTCTTAAAATTTAGTAATACATTTTGAAATTAATAATATGTAAGATCGAAAGATAAGAAGCAAATGACAATTATCAAAGTATCTTATTTCAAACAGTCATCAAAATATTCCTGTTTGAAACAAAATATTTTAAGTCTGTAACAAAATATTCCTATCTGAAATAAAATATTTAAAGTTTGTAACAAAATATAAATTTTGTCTTAACATTATTGTAACATGAGTATTTTTGTCTTTTATACATTTTAATCCCAGAATTAAATGACATTTCCAGGGGGAAGGTGGGATTGTATAATGCGACAAATGTGGCATTGCTCAATCCTAGTAATCTTTAATCCCTCTTACCAAATATCACAAAATCACCCAAGCCCTCCCCCAATCCCATTCCCTCCCCCTCAATCCCTCCTACCAAGCGTGGCCTTATTGGTTAGGACAATGTGATTTTTTTCCCTCAAACATCAAGCAGATTAAAATAATAGACAGAAAATATATGTTTTTATTTATTTTCCTGAAGTGGAGGATATAATAATGAAAATGGGAAAAGGGGTGGACCATTCAACCCAAGAAAGGACCGCTTCCACCCGTTCACGCCTACGCAAGAACCGCACAACTCTTTCTTCACGTGGTCCTTCGTCTTCTTCTTTTCTTTTCTTTTTTTAATCCTTTAAAAAAAAAAAGTCTTTTGACGATTAGTTAAACAAAGTTTAGAGTTACAAATAAAATCGAATCCACAATCTTTTATTTATAAAAAAAAAAATTTACATGCCATTATTACCAAACACCTATTCGTAGATAGTCAATATTAAATTAAAAGAAAATAAGTTTTCAATACTTATTCCTTATAATTTTATTTATTTCATAATTTAATTTCTATTTTTGAAATAATATTAAAATATTAATATAAATATTTAGAAAGTTACACAGTTGATACATGAGTCATATCCTCAATAAATTTTAGGATAAGACTGTATAAAAGTTTTAATTATGTGGGATCTAATTAAATAGTTGATATGAGTCCTATATGTAAAATCTATTTCATATGTTTATCAATTTTTTCCAAATATTAATACTTGATCAACAATAATCAAGTAGAAAGAGGAGGAAGAGAATTAGGAAGATATTAGGGTATTTTAGAAAACAATATCATACTAACTAAAATAACTAACATTCTTAATATATTCAAATCAGTTAATTGGGTCTTATATTAAAGATCGGAGGTGTAATTGTTGAATATGATTATCATGAATAAAAAATTACTGTGTTGAAAAATTTGATAATATATAGAGAATTATATACTTTGTCATATTTTCATTGTAAGCTTTACGAAAGTAAAAAGGTATTTGGATATAATCAAAACCATAGTTTTATAAGTGTTTTTACGATATACGAAGTAAATATGTAGAGGAATTTATCTCAATTTATGAAAAAATACTTCTTTTATGGTGTCTAGACACCCCTAAAACAAGCTAAATATATATTCAATTTTTTAAAAGTATTTCTCAAAGATTCTTTGTAGGTACATGACAATAGTCTTATGAAAAAGTTGGTGCTCAAGCTAAATATGAGTTACTTTATATAAAAATTATGGACAAAAATTACTCGCATGTACATTCTGCAAAAAGATATTTCAGTACACAAATATCTTTGCGACTGGATTAGAAGCAACCACCCGTTTTTTTTTTTTTTTTTTTGGTCTCCAAAAACAAATGGCTGGCAAATAACCATTCGTTTATATTTTTTTAAGAGAAAAATGGTTTAGTAATAGTTTCTATTATCATATTTATTATTTCATTATTTTTATAGGTACTTTCATTATCATTTCCATTAATTTCACTCTGATGCACATGCAATTCTCTTGAAAAATGTACTAGTAATTTTCAAATAAACTTCAATTTACTGGTCCCAAAGAAACCACAATTCAAAATTAAAGCATATGGTATTTTTCAAAATATAAATCAAATCAAACTATATAGCAATGTCTGAGAAAATATACTCTTCCGATCCTAAATATAAGACTCTTATACACACTAATATAAAGATTTTATATTTAAGAGAGGAGGAGTAGTAAATAATAGTAGTATTACATTAATATCTTCTCGTTCAAGAAGCCTGGACAAGTCAGTCATTCACCATGAATACCCCGGTCCTTTCATTAAATAAGCACAACTGTAATTTTGTGCTTTTAAAAAACAAATAAACAATACTGGTATTTTTCGGCAACTAAGTAATATTAATATAAATTTCAGATTTGAGTCCGTTATAACTTAAAAGCAAATCACTTAATCTTTTGTTAAAAAATATAAATTACATCAGTAATAAAACATAATCTTCATAATTTATTAAGTATTATTTATTTCTTTAAAAAAATTCGACAGCCAAGCATGATAACAAGTTGAATTAAAATTCTGATCATATAAATATGGGTTTAAATCTTAATGTTATTGTTATTAGGATCTTAGTAATCCAAGGATCTATTAAAAAAAAACTTTACAACCATAAAAATTGGATTGATCTCATTTAAACTTTTATTTATAAAAAGTTCTATTCAACTTATTGATCTTGTTTTCTTCTACTTTAAGTATTGTTCAATCAAATTATTTAACACTTTTTTATCATGAAAAATTTAGGTGAATTAGACTTCAAAAGACTACTAGCAACAAAATCTTTATATTGATAATTAGATTTAACTCATAACCTTATGGGTTATAAGTCCATTTTTTATCAATTGGACTAACATTTGGTGACAAATTATTAAAAACTTTTTTACTGTGTAAAAATATAAGATTTTTTTACTTACATATTTTTTTAATACTAGAAATCACTTTTGATGATTTTCTTTCATTTTAGGAGAAGAGTAAAGGGAACCAAATAAACAGTGTCGTGGTACCCGCATGTACTATCTTTTTAATCTTGCATAAATAAATGCCTTTCATGCTTTTTTCACTTCAAAAAAAAAAAGAAAAATGCCTCTCAAAAAAGTAAGCCGGGCCCCCAGAAAAAAGGCACACAGCTGTAGCTACACGCGTCAGAAATGCAGAAACACTGTAAATGTGGTGATTTGGAGAAGATATGGTAAAATTGGAATTTATAATGAGGTCCTTAATTATATAAATTCAATAGAATTTAAGGTTCTAATTGCAATTCTCCCAAAAATATTTGTCACGTCATGTTGCTTCATGTAGAACATCACCTTTCTTCCAAACTTAACATTCACGGGAATTAATTATTCAATGAATGTTGTAAAAGTAGTTGCTATTTCCCGGCATCCTACTCCGATTATTCCATACCTTAATTTAAAAGCAGAAACCAAATATTTCAATTAACATTAAAAAATATATACTTCAAATTAATTTTTTATTTTTTTGCTTTGAAAAAAACTCAGCTTCACTCCCATTAGTCCATAACCATACACCCAGAAGCAGATTATAATATTAATCTAACACGAGAGATGGAGAAAGAAGTTTTGAGTGTGTAGCATGAATTTTAATTCTCAGAATTTAATGTTTTGTTGCATAGAGAAAAAGAATTTGAAGTTTGTGAAACAATAATTAATAGACAAGATGTTTGAAAATAAAGTAGTAAGAGAAAATACAATTTTATTCGTATCTTACTTTATTCACATTTTATACACAAATTAAACTAGGAGTCCCATAGAAATGGCTCCTCGAGCCGGAAACCTGGGTCTCTGTAATCGGCGCCGGCTAGGAGCCACAGCGAGGAGTATTGAAACTCGTCGGCGCCACCGTGATTTAAGATATCGGGAAGGTTGAAGAAAGTGTCATCGTCGTCCGTTAACGACGAACTTGACAGTGGCGGAGCGTCGGCTTGCATGACGTCTGACTCGGCCTCGGCTGCTTGAGGGTTTATGTGGTAATTGATGGCGGCTGCTTTGGCGGCGGCGGCTTGGACGTCCTTTGGGGAGTTACTGGCCGGACGAGGAAGCACGGTGGCTAGCTCCGGGAAGTTGAGGAAAGCAGAGCTTCCTTTAATGTTGAGAGCAGCGACGTCGTGAGCTCGAGCCGCCATTTCTGCAGTAGGAAAAGTGCCAAGCCATATTCTGGATTTCTTTCTGGGTTCTCTGATTTCTGAAACCCATTTCCCCCACTGACGCATACGTACGCCTCTGTAAGTTGGGTGCTTCCCGTCCATGTCCGTTTCGTTCTTACTGGTCGTCGTCTTCTTCTTCCTCAGCTTCTCTTCTTTGTGAGCTTCTTGAGCTTCATGGTGTCTATTAATGGCTTCTGTGGTGCTTGAGGAGGAGGAGGAGGAGGAAGAAGGAGTTGTTGGTTGAAGCTTAGTGTGAAGGAGAGCTTCTGGTTCTTGTTGTTCTGCTGCCATGGCTGAGAAGAAGAAGAAAGAAAAGTCTGGTGAGGAAGAACTGAGTTAGTGTTGGTTGAGCTGGGAGCTACTTTTTATAGGATGCAATTATTTTGCTTCTTCTCTTACTGACTTGGGAAAGAAATGGATCCGCTTCATGCTCTAAACCATTTACACATGTCACTTTAGGCTTTTTCCTTAATCAAAAATATATTTTTCTTTTGTTGATCTTACACGTTGAAATTTTGCACTTAATAATTGACAATACTGTTCCTCTGCTTTTTTTTTTTTTTAAAAAAAACTGGCAATGCTGTTCTTGTCATTTAGATTGAAACATTTCTTTATATTATATTTAATTAATTGAAAATTTCCTTTATTTTAATATTAAATTACTTAATTTTAATTAACCATGAACGGAACTTACCATTTTATGCAAAAATAATTCCTCCTTTTTTTAAAACAATAAAAATAAGTGTTAACTCTGGTCAACCTCCATGAAATTTATTTTGATAATACTACTTTCAGTCTTTAATATAAGACCTCGTTTGATTTTTATTTTGATCTTAAATATAAAACTTCAATTTACTTTGTCTCTAATATTTATGTTTTTATTCCAAGATAATCCTTCTAATAATAGTAGTTCTAGCCAATACACTTGATTAGCAAGGATATTTTAGGAAAGACAACACCTGTTTATTACAAATAACTAACTTAACTCATTTTCTTAATCTCTTCAAATTAGTCAACTAGCTCTTATAATTAGGACTGGAGGTAGTATCTTTCATCTCTTTTTGCCATATATTCATACTTTATTATGTTTTTTCCCACTTGTTCTCTGTCCCACCAACATGTTTTATAACTAAAGTTTCTTTTTAAAAAAAGTTATATTTTTACATATTTATTATTATTGATCAATTTCAATTAACTTTTTTTTTAAAATTTTAACAAACTTTTTAATATATGCAATTTGGTTATTTGCATCTTATTAAAAAAACAGAGGAGGAATAATTGTTAATGCAGTTATTAACCTTAAAAAGGTTCTTATAAACTTAGTTAGCCCGCCAGAGATCATCTTCAGACATGTATGGTCATATGATATCTACTCTTTGTTGATTTTTTTAGGCAATCATTTTTCTTATGAGTATTTTCTTTGTCACGATGATAATTATTCCCAAACTATTGCTGGACAAAAAGGAGCCAACAATACTGTTCCTCTGCTTTCTTTCTTTTCTTTTTTTTTTTTTTTAAAAAAGGGGCAATACTGTTCTGGTCATTTAGATTGAAACATTTCTTTATATCAATATTTAATTAATTGAAAATTTCCTTTATATTAATATTAAATTACTTAATTTTAATTAACCATGAACGGAACTTACCATTTTTGCAAAAAATAATTCCTCCTTTTTTAAAAACAATAAAAATAAGTGTTAGCTCTGGTAAACCTCCATGAAATTTATTTTTATAAAAAATAGATTGTGAATTTTACACAAATAAATTGATAATACTACTTCCGGTCTTTAATATAAGACCTCGTTTGATTTTTATTTTTGTTCTAGATATAAGATTTCAATCCACTTGGTCTCTAATATTTATACATTTTTTTTAAGATAGTCCTTTTAATAATGGTAGTTCTAGCCAATATATTTGATTAGCAAGGATATTTTAGGAAAGACAACACCTGTTTATCACAGATAACTAACTTAACTTATTTTTTTAATAGTCAACTAGCTCTCATAATTAGAACAGGAGACAATAAATACATGTGAAATTTGTCTGCGTCATATAATTATGCTTTTTGTACGAAGTACGGTATTACGTAATTTTCTTTTTAAAAAAAATAGGCAAGCATAGAATATTCTGACGTACGCTAAAAATATCTGAACAATGACTCTTTTATTATTATATCAAGAAGTAATGAATAAGTAATAATAGATTATTTTATTTTGAATCATGAAATTAAAACCCAATCCAAATCGGCCAAGTCAAACCAATGAGCTAATGAACCAGTCCTTTCTTTTTGACCAGCCTAATGAACCAGTCTTTTAGAAAAATAACAGCAGTCCATCATATTTATACTTTAATAACTTTGTTTTGTTGAATTATGTGCTGTCTATATATGAATGTTCTGTATACTTGCAGATCAAATTTTTATTTAAATATTACTTAAATTTAATTATGTCTAGTCTGATCCAGATAGACCCTGATTTATAAATCACTGACCTTCAGATCTTGGCCTTGGCCAATTTATCAATCAGTATGGTTTTCAATACCTTATTTTAAACAAACACTTTGATTATTGAAATTTTGAACTTCAAAACTGAGATAAATAAATTTGCACCGTACATATACGTTAGAAACAACTTGGCTCACCTTAGAATTTGGGAAATCCACATTTTGATATGCCACCTCCGGTTCTTAATATAAAAGCTCATTTGATTTTTATTTTATCTCTAAATATAAGAATCTAATCAATTTTATTTTTCATATTTATCTATTTTTTTCAAGACAGTCCTGGTAATAATTGTAGTTCTAACTAATATACTTGATTAGCAAGGATATTTTAGGAAAAAGAATACATATTTACTATAAATAACTAACTTAACTAATTTTTTTAATCTACTAAAATTAGTCAACTAGCTCTTATATTAAGGATCAAAGGTAGTGATTCTCTTCAATTTTAAATACTATATACGTAATTCTTTTAATTTTGGAAGCACTTAATCGTTTAAATCAAAGGATGAAAGTACATTAATAAATTACATATATTTAACTCAAAAGTTTTGGTAAAAACATAATTCTCTCACTAACGAAATTACTTATATATTGATCTTGAAAAGAAATTACTCATATTTACGCGCGCGTGTGTGTGTAGCTTTCCCCCCCGGGAAAAAAAAAAAAAGACGCACCGGCATTCTTATCACTAACAAAAAAACAAGGTTGTTAGCAAACTTAACATGAAGAATATTTAGTGGGGCGAAGAAGTCAGAATGACGTCTAAAACACTAATTGTTGTTTCAAACTTTCCATGGGGACATAAATTTTTGACTTGAAAAGAAAAACGAAGAAAAAAAAGTTGGATTGTGGAAAGTAAAAGTGTGAAACATATGCATTGAACTTCCAGAGTTGGTGCTCTCTGTTATTGTCTTATCCACTAAACTTTGGAGATGTTTGGTAAAACAGAAGTACTTTTAAAAAATATTTTTTAAAAAATTAAGATAAATTTTTTCACATATTTATTTTAAGGATGTTTAGATAACTCCAAAAATGCCTTAAATTGAGGCAAATTTTTTTATATATTTACTTCGTATAACATAAAAATATATTTAAAGTTATGATTTTATTTCTGTCTAAACATTCCGAATTCGTACTGTAAAAATACTTTTAAAACCATTATTTTGTTTTTACCCAAATGTTTTTTTAGTTTTAAACTTCCGAGTTGATTAAATAATTGCCGCCGGTTGTGAGAAACAAGTTTCATGACTCATTTATAAAATGTTCAAATAATAATATAATAGTGCTGAATATTAATAAAATAATAAAATTATTATTTTGTTATACTAATCTGGTATCTTGTAAATTATTTCCGATGAAAGGGTTAGGTGCGAAGTCTGTGTCCGAAACAGTGAGACGTGTTGGGTTTAGGGACAACACAAATGTGAAGCTGATTGGTGTTCAAAGGTACATATGCCCCCCCGCGTAAGTATTACTCCTGTTTACTTCACTCATTTTCAAGCTCAACCTCATGACTCATAGCTTCTTTATCTTCTTCCTATTGTTTTCTCTTTCTTTTTAATTTAGTTATATAAAATGAGTTTACTAGACTAAACAAGAAGTTTAAATATATGAAATTCCATTTCATGCAGCTAACAATTGAAAATGATAGGAAAGGAAATGAGGTATAAACTGACATTTTAAAAATATTGTGAAATTATTTATTTGCCTTTATATGACATAAATGACATTAATAAAACTAGAAATAATAAGTGTTAAATTAATAATGGCAAGTATTGAACTGTAAACCACAAATTTCATAGTTTTTTATTTATTTATTTAGTTGGTTAATTAACAAGATGTCAACTAAAAGTAATAAGTGTTAAATTGACAGTGAATATTATTGAACTAGAAATGAAAAGTTTATTAATACTTCTGATTTTTAATATAAAACATTATTTGACTTTTATTTTGGTTATAAATATAAGATCTTAATCTACTTTATCTCTTATATTTATACATTTTTTCAAGGTAGTCCTTCTAGCAATAATAGTTCTAGCTAATACACTTGATTAGCAAGGATATTTTAGGAAAGACAACACCTATTTATCACAAATAATTAACTTAATTTCTTTCCTTAATCTATTCAAATTAGTCAACTAGCTCTTATAATTAGAACCGGAAGAAGTATTATTTTTTATCACAAAAAGACATATAAGTTTCACAACATTTTCAAAATGTCAGGCCTCACTTCTTTTCCTGTCATTTTAAATTGTTAGCTAACTAGAGTAGAATTTCATATATTTAAACTTTTTTTTAAAGGAAAATTCCCTTGCTAAAATATAGGGAATGAGAAATTAATCAAACGTCAATTTTATAAAGCGAGTGACTCAAAACAAAATTGAATTAGTGTATAAAATATTGATTCCTTTGTAAGGCACCATTGGGATTATAATAGATGAAGAGACTATTAGTCAAATTTTTCTTATATGCCACCATATTGATATTGTTTAAGGATGGGAAAAAAAAACTATTAAGGCAACTTAGGCATCAGTTTCAACTTCATACAGAAGTTGCAAAAAGACGGGTGAGAAGATTGCAGTTTCACCCAGATGACAATTCTTGACAAAATTACACCCATTAAATAAAATTTAAAAGTTAATTTTCTTTTCAAAAATACTTATAAATTAACATAAACAGAGAGAGAGAGAGAAAGAGATTGTTTGGAAAGTAAAATGATTAATGGCAATTTTGGAATAATACTATTAACAAAACCTTGTTTTTCTGCGAAACATCTTATATTTTAAAACATTTAA